AAGAGTTATGAGATCTGTTGCTAAGTATGAATGCTTTAAGTCCCCTACAACAGTCCGGTATCATCAATTGAACCTGATACAAATTTTCCTTAAAAAAATTCTCTAGCTTAAAAAGAGCAATTATCTTAAAAAAAGAGTAATGATAAGTCAAGCATTTATAGAATGCCCCTGAGAAACCATAAAATACAGAGAAACTAACGTCTGATTTTATTTGAACACAAAGTTTACCATATTGCTGAATTTCGACAGATACTACTGCCTTTCAGTATTTTTTTTCCTATCTTCCATTGCAAATTACTTCAAATGCCCTCTCCCATGAATATTCATCAAAATATCGCTTATGAATTGTTAAGGCCATCCTGATGACACTTCGGATATGGAACTATCCCCAAACATCCATCCACACCATGGCTAAGCAAACTGCATCCTCTCGAGCTTAGAATTTAACATGTTTTAATTTCATTAAACTTTAACATTTTTCTTTTATGTTATGTGTAAGGATAGCGAAGTATACAATACGTATTACTCCATTACTCCAACAGGAAAATAAAATATTCAACACTTAACAAACCTGTTTTGGAACTTACTCTTGCTAATTATTTCCCTTTACATTCAGTAGACTATATCAGATGTGACTTACTAATAAAGGAACATAATCCATGACAGTAAGACCTGTATCTACATTAGATTTTAATTAATGAAAATATAATTACAATGGATCACCTTAGTTACCTGTGTTATTGTAATCTAGCATTGCTAATAAATATTAAACTTGAGGTAATTTTTTTCTTCATATTAGTCTGGGTGAAAGTAAATTGTGGCTCTTCTGCATTAAAAATTAATTTGCTTAAAAGTTAATGGCCATTAAATGTTATGGCAAAGCTGCAATTACTTTTGGGACTACCCTTAAATAAATTAGTTTCAATAAATTTAAAAAGTGTCAATCAAGATATAGTGAGCATTCCTAATTTGAAATCAGAAATCCTAACTGCTCCAAATCCAAAACTTTCTGATGCCACAAGCACAGGTAACCTTTAAATCAAAACTGGAATGGGTAGGGAGAGACCTGAAAAGCCGCCTTTTTTTTTTCTTTTTTTTTTGTTTGCTATTGCTTAACAGCTGATATAGGTGTTCTGGTGATGCTACTATGCTGCTTAGTTCCCTGAACACATTACCCTTTCACTGTATTAATAGTTTGTCATATTTTTTACTGTTAAGTATTTATGTGTTAATACGTGCAAAAAAGTGACTATTGGTTGGGACCACAGAAATTCAGAGTCAGAAATGGCGATGATGCCAAACAACCACAGACTGTCCACACGAGTGACTGAGACAGATGTCTTTGCTTGCTTCTGATCGTTCAATGCAGACAAACTTTGTTTCATGCACAAAAGTATTAAAAATACTGGATAAAATTACCTTCAGGCTATGTGTATAAGGTGTTTATAAAACATAAATGAATTTAGTGTTTACACGTGGGTCCTATCCTCAATATATCTCGTTATATATATGCAAAAATTTCAAAGTCTGAAAAAAATCCAAACTCGGAAACACGTCTGGTCCCAAGCATTTCAGATATGGACTATTCAGCCTGTATTATAGAATAAGATTATTTACAATAATGTTGTATAAGAACATAAGCTGTTATTAATATTTAAACAATCTATGATTGTGTTTATCAACTACCAAAACAAAATGATGCTTGGCATACTCAGACATATTTTCCCTCACAATAAAGACTGAGATTTATTCTAAGAAGTAAAAGCAAATTCAAAAGCCTATGTTGAAATGATTAATGAATGCTACCAACATTTTCTTTTTCTTTTTCTCTTTTGGGGATGGAGTCTCGCTCTGTCACCAGGCTGGACTGCAGTGGCATGATCTCGGCTCACTGCAATCTCCACCTCCTGGGTTCAAGCGATTCTCCCGCCTCAGCCTCCCGAGTAGCTGGGAATATGGGCACACACCCCCATGCCCAGCTAATTTTTGTATTTTTAGTAGAGACGGGGTTTCACCATGTTGGCCAGGATGGCCTTGATCTCCTGGCCTCGTGATCCTCCCACCTCAGCCTCCCAAAGTGCTGGGATTACAGGCGTGAGCCACTGCACCTGGCCCCAATATTTCCTTATAAACAACTGCCGTTGATACTTCTTGCCATGTTCCAGGATATATGTTCCCTACAGAGATCAACCTGGTCTCCTCTAGTTTACAGTTCCAGAAGTATTACACAGTTACTTAAGCTAAGTGTAGTGCTTTGATGAACTGCATTTCTAGAATATACCATCTTTCCCTTTTCCTTGGAAAATAATGTGCTGTTTTTTTGAAGAAATAATGAAGCAAGTACTATTTAAAAACTAGAAACTTAAGGTTATAGTCGTCTCTGAATCTCTGCCCAGCAAGCCAGGTATGGCAGTGTGGGATCTGGGCTCCGGGCAAACACCAATGGACTCATGCGTTCTCATCTATACAGTATGTAGAAAACACATTAGAGACTCATTCTTTTCTTTGCTCTTGGAAGAAAGGAAACTCTATGTATCTTTCCAAGGACACCTTGGAAAGCTTTTCTCTGTGAATTAGTGATGAAATAATCCTATGCCCAACAAATCAGAAAAATGGTCATCTTTATTAGTAAACCAATGTAATTATCAAAAGTTAGATGAATACCAAAGACAGATTTGAAATTACTAATTTAGACTCAAATAATAAAATATGCCTTAAGATTCATTTTTATGTTTAATGCCTGTTATAGAGAAACTGTCATAGAGCACAAATACAGTTAAATATATCTAAGATAACAAGTGAAGGGACACTGGCTAAATCACTGAATTGTATACTCAATGGGTAGAGATCTATCCCAATTATCTGTCTCACTGTGAGAAAAGTGAGAAAAGCACAATTTTAGATTGGGCTTAGATATAATAAGGCAAAATCTTGCTTCTAAATAAGGTGTGCTTTTACTGAGCAGGCTTTGTACTAACACAAAATCAAATTCTGGACTACTAGAAAATTCAATCCCTCCAAAATGTACATAATTTACAATTTTCAGTCTCATATAAATGTAATTAGAACAACCTCATATCCTTAAGCAGAAGGATAAAGTCTTACTGCACACTTGTGCTAAGTTGACTGTATGTAATACATATAATACTGTAAAGATAGCTTCATACTTACTTACTGGCTTGTGCTATGAAAATTAAAATACAGTTGTTTTTATGCCATGCTGCCTGTATTTTTTCCCTGCCTTTCTGTTCAAAGTTCCCTCTGCAGAAATTTATCTAATGGCACGAGTTTAAGAAAAGCACAACCCATGTTTGCCTTCTAATAAACCCTAAGGTATCTATTCTTTCTTTTCAGAGTATTAAAAAACATTGCTCCTGCTTTGTAATCTTCCGCAGGACTGAAACTGCACTAGAACCTACCAGAAAACTAAGAAGCAGCAAGGGAACCAGAGCCAGAATAAAGTCTACTGTTTGCTACCTGTTTTCTCATTCATTTTTGAAGTTTGTTTCTAGGACATAATATTTCTTGTAAAGTAAGTTCAATTTTTTTCAGCCACTTCAGAAGTTCATTTTAAAGAACTTTGCCTTATTTTTGTCTGAAGCAGTTTTCAATATTGGTAAAGAATTTTCAAGTTTCTCTTTTCAATGATCTTTATTAGACCTTACAGATAAAGAAGACACACAGTAATTCATGTTAAAAGAGACACAGGGAAAATTTGATTCAGCTACTCATAACGAACTTGGGAACCAAATAAATCAGACTCTCAGAGCTAGTGGATACAAATTCAAGACTGTTTAATAAATCAATCTATTTGATAATAGTTTACCAACATATTAATTAGTATTATTAGAAGCTAAATAGATAAAACACAAGAAAATAAAGCAAATGTAAATGGCAAAATAATTTTTAGGAATAGTAAAAAAGACTACATTACTAATGGGAAATGCCTACAAATAACATATTTTACCTGGCATCATCTTGTGAGAATCTCCTTTGCAAATCCTCTTTATTCCACTGTTCTTTTTCTTTCCCTTGCTCGGGTATATCTTGTGTTTTTTCCTCGTCTCCTGATTCTCTGTTTTTCTCCTTATTACACGTTTTGGCAATCTCTTTCCCTTTCTCATTCTCATTAATTCTTTCTTCCTTTACCTCTTCCTTCTCATGAACTATCTCTTCATGCTTATCCCCTTCTTTCCCTCCCTCTTCTATTCCCTTTGGTCTTTTGAAAGCAACACAAATTGAAGGCATGCAAATAAACACACACAAAAAGAAAGAAAGTCAAGAAAAAACACTTATGAAATTAAACAGAAAGGTAATAAAACTATCAAAACATAAATAAAAATTATATCTTTTAAATGTTGAAAACTTACTTCAGTGTATACCAGAGAAGCACTGTATAAATAGCACTTAATTGTAATAGTTTTAAAATCATTTTCCTTTTACAAAATTACATGAAAAAAGGTAAAAGCTGTGATCTCCCTATTATAAATTTTTTAATCCAATAAGAGTAAAACAAAATTTAGCTTAGGCATCTATAAAATCTATAGGACAAGTAAGAAACACAAATTATACTAACTTATATACTACATGCATAAATTTTCTTGAGAAGATGAGTACTTTTTCTATGCATACATAAAAAATTCAAGTGGATGGGAAAGCATACTACTGAAAGAGTATTATTCTTACGTTTTCTAATAACAAAATATATTATTTTCATGTTCCTTGGAACATGAAAAATTCAAGTCTCAGCCATCACTTTTATTTCAGTAAAGATGTAATAAAAGGTCTTAATTTTTAAGTTACAAACATGAAAAAAGGTATTATTTCCAGTGATCTAGTAAGGAAAATTATCCACAGTTCCATAACATTTTTTTTTCGGTGCAAGAAGTCCAAAATGTGTGTTAAAATATATTAAAAAGTAGTATGTACTGAAATTGAGCTCCCCTCGCTTTAAAATAGATATTAACCTTTTAGAAATATATAATTTTATGTTCATCCAAGAAACACAAAGACCTTCTAAAACATATTTGGAGAAGTTTGTTGTTGAAATCCCCTTACTCACCTGATTTTCTTGTTTCCTCTTGGGCGTTCTGATTGGACAGACATGTAGCTTGTGCTGCTGAAACGAGAAGCACTACTAGTCCTTGAAACCGCAGATATATCACTTACATCACTGTCCGAAGATTTAGTAGAAACATTATCTGCCCCTCTATGAGGATCCCATCCTGATCGATACTGTTAACACAGATTGACAAATACGCAGAAGTTGTCAGTATTACCACACAAAGCAATTATTAGCTTTCTCCTATTTCAGCACTTTCATTGTCCACAGAGGAAACTGCAAAATCCTACTCAGTTGCATATAAAACAAAAGTGAATGGCAATTATCCTAAAAGAAAAATTCAATTTATATGAAACCTTTGTTTTCAGCAAAGTAATTAGAATGTTTTTACCACACCCCAATGAAGGCCATTAAAATAGTTTCAAAGCAGCGCTGGCCTCAGGAAAGAACATTTAGGTAAGATCTGGGAAATGAGCATTTGGCTTAATATTAGGAAGTATAATTTTTTTATTTTTTAATAATTTTTTTTTAAAATCCCAAGTATAATAAAGCTGCCATTATCACTTATAGAAACCAATTCTAGTAGCCATCAATTAATCCATTATGCTTCACTGAAAACCTAGAGATAATATAAAATCTAATTATTCAACCATTAACTTTTTTAGAAAAGCCAAGAGAAAAGAGAAGGTTTAATTTCAAAGTGGCTGCTGGATTTTGATGAATCCTAGAAATACTAGAAAAAGTCATTATTATTTACAATAGTTCAAACTTCCTGGAATTGAAATAATCAGATAGTTAACTGGCACAGCCAGGGTTGCAGGGTATTCTTGGGTGTTCAAATATTCTGGTAAATTAAAAACCATCGTAAATGCTTTACGTTAATGACCTAGTCTCATAAAATACATTTAATGTAAAAACTAATGGACAAAATTTAACTTTATTCTGACAACAAAAAAATCATTTGCTAAGAGTCGTCTTGTTGAGATGTAAAAAGGATAGACTTTGGAGTCTGGAAACCTGAAGTAAGAAAAACTCTCACTAGTTGACTAAATCTGAGCAAATCATTTAATCTGTAAAAAGCTTCTTATAAAAAAATGGATAATAATATCTTTTTTTTGCAAGGCCTAGAACTAAGACATATGTGGTATCTGGCATAATGTAAGTAAATGTAGCCTGTAGTATTACGGTATTATTACAACTTGGTGATACAACAGTATTCTTACTATAAACATCAAATATGACTATTATTGGGTTAAGAGATTATCTACTAATTGATTTTGATTTGTTTAGATGTGCTTCAAACTTAATGCTGAAACACTCTTAACTAGTTAATTTTGCAAAGGAGAATTTTCTAATCACAGATATTAGCAAATTCCATAAAGCCTTAGAAAGATGATTATTTTATATCAACTACTTGCTATGTCTTAGAGAATAATTACCTAATAAACAATCCCCCACGAATGACAATTCATTGCGAGTATTAGATAGATATAAACATTTTGACCAAGATAAATTGAGTGGCAACAGAGCATAAACAGTAAATTTGATATAAGTTATCTGTTGATTTTTTTTTTCCAAAACCTCTCAGTATCTAGCTATCCATTTTAAAAGTTGACTCTTCTTCAAACATAAAGAAATTATTTCTAAGGCTCCATAAAATTTTAGTTAAATCCATTAATCTAGCAACATATATTCAAATTAGGTGAGAATTAGCCTTTCTTAGTCCACTTTAAATTTCTATCTTGTTAGATAAACTCTCAATTATCAAAAAGCATACAATTAAATTCTTCTAAAAATTGCTGCTTTTTCCGAGGAAATATTTATTTAAATAGAACCAGAGGGTTTAATTTTAAAAGAAACATTATTAATATACAGTGCATTTATTCAAAGACAATTTAGATCATAATATTATTTTTCAAATAAAGTCATTTTAAAATACCATTTTGCCTTAAATGACAATGATGAAAGCCATTGCCTAGAATAGCATTTAAATGAATGGTATCAACATTATCCATGTTATATCTGTCTATATAATATATACAATATGTACACTATATAATAATATATTGTATACTATATAATACAATAAATGACATATCTATATATATTTTCACAAAATGTATTGAAGGTAAATGTGATCTCAAGGTAAGGTATATGTGGAAAGATTTCATTTTACTTATTTTTTTGGGGCATTTATTCATACGAAAATCGAAGTTTTAAGAAATTTTTCAAAGCTATAAACTTGTTCAATAGATACTATACTGCATATGGGGGACTTTTCTCTGATTCTTATAATTTATAATAAGAAAGAAAAACAGCTGCTATTCTTTCTTTTAAAGTAATTTATTATTGAATATGAAAGCAGTTTTGGTAATATATTTCTTATTTGTTTTTGCTCATGGGATTATTATATCATCTAAATTCAAATGGAAAACTGTAAGTTTTAACTCTGGCAGTAGTAAGGGCAATAATGTAATCATTAAGAGCCAATGCTCTGGAATGGGACTGAATCATTTGAATTCTGGCTACATAGATTATTAGGTTTGTGATCTTGGATCAATTGCTTCTATGAGTCTCAGTTTTTCATCTGTTAAAATATGGATAATAATTGTGCCTATCTCCAAGGCTTGCTGCAAGGATTAAGCAAGACAATGTGTGTAAAGTACTTAGCACAATATCTGACACATAACAAGTGATGACAAATGATGACAATGATAATGATGACGATGATGATTAAACAGTAGCCAAATACTGGCTTATGTAAATTTCAGGACTATCTTTAGCTAAAGAATATTAGGTAGAAATATTTAATAAATATATTAAGACTATTCTAAGCTACAAAAACATAATTATTTTTACATATATCCAAGAGATCTGCTTCAGAAAATATGTTTATAAAACAAAATTAAAATTTTAAACCCAACTTTACTACTGACTCCTAGTATGTCCTCAGGCTTCGCCGTCCCCATTTGGCCAGGTTCATCCATATCCCATCACCTAATAGGGAAATACTGATTCCCAACTGCAGGATGAAGAATATCTTTATCTCAGCAGGAAATATATGACACTTCTTGGCCGACATAGAACATGTCTTATTTTTAATATTTGTCTTAGAACCTTATCTTGACATCCAAAGCCACTAGGTACTCATGTATCCCATGCTTTCCTGATTGGTTTTTGTCCAATTTGCTTTTCTTTCATATCTGAAATCTAACTACTTATTTGGCTTTTCAATTTCAGTAGTTAGGATTCTGATTTTGTCTACTCTAGGCTTTGTCTTTTTAGGTCTGTCATGATGTCTAGTCTTGTTGCTATGATTCATAGCTGCATACAGGCTTTAATTTGTTTAGCTTTTAAAAGACAGGTTAGCATGGTGTGCACTGTGCATATCTTTATCTGAGACTTCTCAGATCATCCAGTTTGCTGAGCTAAAATTTTAGATATGCAAAATTTAAGGAAAGATAAGATTCCCCATATTGTAGTTTTATGCCTTTTTTCACAGCATTATAATAGTGTAAAGGTTTTATGCCTTTTATTCACACACAGCCCTACGACAAGAGACAGTGTGTGTAATTCATCACACATGACCTCTTGTCACAGGGCTGTGTCTGTCTATGTATCTATCTATCTATCTATCCATCTATCTATCTATCTATCTATCTATCTATCTATCTATCTATCTATCTCTATATCTATCTCTATATCTATATCTAGCCCTATATCTATATCTATCTATATATACATACATAAATGTGTGCATGTGTATATAAACGTGTTCATGTTTAATTTTCAAACCCCCATTAGACTACAAACTCCTGAAGGCCAGCACAGTATCTTCCTCACCTTTGTGTGTCTCTTAGCACCTAAGAGTCAAAGATTTAACTTAATTTAATTTAAACTACGAGTTTTAGCCTTCTTACTAGGAAGATAAGAATACACTCCAGTTTAAGAATTTTTGAGAAAAATATATTCAAAATATATATTCAAAATACATAATAGTATGCTTAGCAAATAGCAAAAGCTTATTTCCAATGCCTAAAGCAGAAGGTCATTAAATAGAAGGACACTGAATGGAATAGTTTATATAAAGAAAGAATAGAAATTAGCTAAAGGCTCTAGTTTAATGGTGATTAATGATGATTCTGCTATCTACTCAAGGCTTTCATCAAATGTATTTCTCTGTTGACTTCTAAGCCACTGAGCATGTTTACCATTGGGATTAGCTCAGGTTTCCATTACAAATAGACATAAGCTTTTAAAAATGAGAAATCTGGCCAGTGAGAAAGAATATGAAAAATATTTTTAATAAATAAAATTTCAGAAGAATACATTTTGAACATATTTAGAATTTAACTTATTCACATATACAACTCAACTCCCACCCCCAAAAATCTAAGTACTAAACGACTTAATAATAGAGTCAACACTTAAAATGGATAAATGTAGTTTTACTTTTCCTAAAATATGATAAACAAAAGTTCTATACTTCAACAACGAGATAAAAGCAGCTGAATTGTTATTATACCAAGGTAATGAGCTATGAATGTGAGTAAGTAAATTTATTTAGGAAATGGTTGGTGTTGTTTTGGCACTATACAATACATAATGTTTTAAATAATTAGCGTGTATTACAATATAGCTGATGGATGAACAATGAATGGCCTGTTAATCATTCTCTTTAATGGAACAAAAACAAAGAACAATAACATGATCTTAGCTGAAAACTGTGCTCCGATTAAAGATCATTAAAATCTTGGAAGAGAGTAAAGAAGTTTTTCCGGACAACATTTTAATGTTTTGTACATTACTATTAAGAAGATCATGAACTAGAAAAATTTACAGGAAATGATTGTTCTTCAGGATGTTCCAGACTCTAAAGAGTTCCTAAGTGGCTTGGAAAAGTTAATGTTCTTCCTATATATCTAACATCAGTGGAAAGTAACAGTGTACCTACAGAGCTCTATTGAAAAGAAGGCTATTATTAAAGTGTTAGAATGATATACTTAAAAAATAAATTACAATTTCTAAAATCAGTTTCATTTTCTCCAGTAGTCATTTGAAGTTCTTAGGCCATTTCCAACTCTGATTTTGCTAAAGCACCTCAAGAACTCTGGTTGTTTGATCTTCAGACAAAGATGGAGGCAGGATTATGAATGTCCTTAAATATCACTTG